AAAACTGACTTTGTAATTTAATTTGCTTTATTTCAGTTCTTTATGATAATGACCATGTCAACAATAGCTATGTAGGAAATTGGTATTTACATACATATAGCAATAAAACAAGTTGGGGGGGGTTCTTTTTTGTTTTTTCTTTATCGAGATTTTAATAAAAGTCTATAAAGAACTTGGATTTCCATTCATTCATTGTTGCACATTTTCTTCCCTGCCCACCCCTCCCCCTGTTTTCACTTTTCTCTTTGAAAAAAAAAATTCTTTCATTGTTACACATCCCCCCACATCCCCGTCCTTTTTACTATACAGCTCTTATTCTGGACTCTTGTCATGCAGATAATACCTAATCATATATTCCTTTCAAATAGTTCTCTCTCTCATTTGTTTCAATGCTGTGTACATTATTTATCCCGTCTTTTCTTAGTTTCCTCCCAACGCAGATGTCAGTCTTGTTTAATAACAGTGACATTATGCAATAAAACAAGTTTTACCTCAAGCAAAAATTGTAGCAAAGCACAATACAGTTTTATTCACCCAGCATGTGAATGGAAATAGACTTTTAAATTGCTTCCTGAGTAAACATTTTTCCTCTGTCTGAATATCTTCACCTACTAACTCAGCTTAGAGTTAGAAAGCGATGCTACCAAGCCAACGGTGGGTGATTTTAATCTGTGGCTCTCAGGCCTGGTTTTGTTTTTGGTCAAACATTCTTCTAAGTGGTATAGCACTGGTCTGTCCATTTGCTGTACAGAGGTAACTCTCAGTTGCTGTGATGCTGAACACTGTGACACCAATGGGTCAAATGCGATAATGGTTACGGATGGTGGACAACGTTTGGTGGAGCTCTCTGGTTGAAACAAGCTTGGAGACAGGAGTGGTATCCACTTCCAAAATAACTTGCCTCTAGAAACTCTAGAAACTTGGAGAAACGATGAAAGTTATATAAATGTTCAGGTCTTTTGTTCATAGGGTCACTACAAGTCACCTACAACTCAACAACAATTAACAACAACAACAACTAACTCAGGTGCAAAGCTTGCATTACATTTCTTCCTTAACAATGCCAGAACCTGAATTCTGATTCTAAAACTTCCATGTACTATATAGGCTTGGGCAGGCTATTTGCCTTCTATTCTGCTTGCTGAAACTGAAGAAGCACTTGCTGCAGAAGGTCAAGAACTGCAGCCTTCAAAATGGATTGAAACTAAACATCAAGAAAACAAAGATTCTCACCACTGGGCCAATTCATATCATGATAGATGCTGTAGAGATTGAGACTGTTAACAGCTTTAGTTTGCTTGGCTCCATAATCAACACTTTTGGTACAAGCATCCAGGAAATCAAAAGATGACTTGTATTGGGAAAGTCTGATGTCAGAGACCTCTCCAGAGCAACGACGTCAGTCAGGAGTCTAAGGTGTTCCTGATTCAGGTCATAGTCTTTGCAATTACTTGCTATGCATCAGAAAGCTGGACAATGACTAGGGATGACAGGAGAATTGATGTCTTTGAGCTGTGGTGCTAGTGAAGAGTGTTGAATACACCATGGACTGCTAGGAAATAAACAAGTTTGTCCTAGAGAGATTAAAACTAGGCTGCTCTGTGGAGGCAAAGATTCTGAAGCTTCATCTGAAATACTATGAACATGCTGCAAGAAGGGACCCTCTCCATGCTTGGAGAGGGACATCATGCTTGGGAGGGTGGAAATGAATTGATTCAGTGACTGGGGTAATGAGGATAAGTGTCAATAGTAAGTCAATAAGATATTGGCACAAGATAGAGCAGGGTTCAGGGCTGTTGTACATAGGGTCACTATGAGTCACAGGCGACTTGACAGCACATAACAACCTTCCAGAGGCTATTGTGAGGATTACATTTTTTTTTTAGAAAAAGTACTTATTACAGTGTTTAACAATAAACTATAATTACTATGCAATACTATCATGTTTGAGAAGTTAGAGGGACAGCGCAGAAGAGGAAAACCCCAGATGAGATGGACTGACACAGTAACTGGGTAACGAGGGTAGGTGTGTCAAGAGACAGTGAGATTGGCCCAGAAGAGAGCAGGATTCAGAGCTATTGTGCATAGGGTTGCTATATGTCGTGGTCAACAGGATTGGACATAAACAACTATGCAATATATTATTAAAGTATATCAGTTCTAGAAAGCTCTGGTAGCCTAGTGGTAAGAAGCTGCACTGCAATCCCAAAGGCATTTTGTTAGAGGCAACCAACTCTGTGGGAGAAGGATGGGCAATCTCCTCCCATACATTTAACTGCCCCTGAAAACCCGCTGGAAGGTCAGCGATGGATTGGTCCCGACTCTATGGTACATAACAACAACAGCAACATATCAATTCTATAACCTCTGTTTAGTTGTATATCAAGGTATAAAGATATGATTAGTGAATAACAGAGGCCCTTGCTACAAAACACATTCTAAAATTTGTGCTAATTCTCATTAAAAAATTATACAGTAACCTAAACATACACACACGCACATATATAGAGATATATTCATTCTTGTATACATTCAGTAATTAATTCAAGATGGATTATTTCAAGGACAGTATCCTATGTTTTAGAGTAAAAAATAGTCCACAATAAATTTTTATTCTAAGTGGTATTCTTGGATCAAGTCTGAATCTCTAAAACCACATTTTACCAGACTACATAGGGTCGCTATGAGTCGCAGGCGACTCGACGGCACATAACAACAACAACAAACTAATCTTACCAAATTATCCACTTATATTAAATTAGACTCTGGCATTATGTACAAAATATTGCTGAAAACATTGCTGATCACATGTTGCCCCCTTTAAAATTAAAAATTCATATCCACAATTTTCTATATAAAGAGAAACTCTCATTCAGAATATCTTGCATGCTTTTATATTCTGAGTGCAATGAATCTCATAACTGTTCTCTTTGTTTTGTTTTCTGTCTTAATTCTTTATAGGAAAAAGCCAGATCTGTTCATTTCACTCATTGCTT